ATATATAAAATTATATATAAAACATATATAAAAAATTAGTTTATATATATAAACTAAGGTCACTAAATCATTTACACACACACACATATATATATACTTGAAATAGCATGTAAGTAGATGTTACTTTTTAACCCAATCCCATAGTCTCTGCTTTTTAATGGAAAAATATGATCTGTTCATATTCAGCGTAAGAAACAGTACATTTATTTCCTTCCTCCTTACTTTATTAAGCTTTTAATTTGCTTGTCCCCTTCTTCCTTTTTTTGTTTGGGAGGGTGTTGACCAAGATGCTACTCATTACTCCTTTACTCCTTATTAATTTAGAAATTTTCTTGTACTTTTTCATGATCTTTCCACTTTAACCTATCATAGCATTTCCTCTTCAGTCCAGTTTCTCCAGTATAAGCATTGTCTATGACAGGTCTCAGCAGGTGAGAACATAACAATGTTAGACAGCAGCAGGTGGAGAAAAGACACTGTCTTCTCCCACTCATGTGTGTCCTCACCTTAGGTTCAAGGCCATCAACCCCAATAAGCTGTACACTGCAGAAAGCTCTTGAAAACAACACAGGAGAAGCTTGCTGAGCACCTGAGACAGCCTGGCCCCCACCTAGGTCCTGTACAAGCTGCACACTTGGCCTTCTGAGGCATGACCCGGCTGGGAGAACCCCCACGGGAAGACCCAGCAGCACTCACTCGGAGCTCATACCGCAAGCTGCTGTGCTTCAGGTCGGCCATGCTGCGGTTGGTGATGCAGAAGTCCCAGCCAGCAAAGATCTTGTTGCAGTAACTCTGGAAGTGCTCCTCACTCCGAATCAGGTTGACTTTGAACCCCTCCACTGACCTGCCCCCAAAACACAAGTATCGGCAAAATACAGGCCCATGAATTGGCTTCATCTGAAATCCGAGAAGTTGCACATGGCTGTATGTTTGGCACATTCTGACATGGTCAAATTTCAGACAGTTCTCTATGTGGCAGCTAGCCAGGTATCCCACTGTTGAAAATCACATCTGTTTATCCACCTAAAAACAACTTCTATCATAGCTGGAACAAAACCCAGACCATTTTTTTCCTCCAATCAGATTTTACTGGTACAACTTAAACAACATAATGATCACATTCATCATGGAGAATTTGTACCAGTACAGCATAGAACTTGACTCTTTTTTTTCCCATTCGCCTCCCCCCGTTCAACCCCTTCTCCCCTCCCCACTTACAAAAGGTTTGTTTCCATTTTTTTCCTTCTTTTTCCATTCCCAGACCATTTAATATAAACTAGAGAAGCTACGTGATCTAGCTCTGTCCAGTCTCCTCCCACGTGGCCACTCTCTTGTAACAGTTTTCACACCTTCATGAAACTACAAATCCCTGCTTGTGCCTCTGTGCCTCTGTACTTGACAGTTTAGCCTACTCTCTTTGGGTACGGTTCTTCCCCTGACTTCCCACGGCTGGCTCCTTGCCATCTGCTATAGACTGGATCTGGAGTGTCCCCTCAGATGCCCACGTGCTGAAGGCTTGGTCACCAGCCAAGGCTCTGCTGGACTGTGACGGACACTTAAGAGAGATGGGGCCTAGTAGAAGGAAGTTAGAGAGGGGTGTGCCCATGAAAGGGACATTGAGGATCGGCCTCTTCCCCTTTTCCTCTGCTTCTTGGCTGCCATGAGGCAAGCATCCTCTGTCACGCCCTCCCACGATGATTTACTATACTGCTGCAGGCCAGAGTCACAGGGCCAAGTGACCGTGGATTGAAACCTCTGACACCACAAACCAAAATAAACCTTTCCTCCTTTTAAGTAAACTATCTTATGGTTTTTGTCACAGTAACAGAACAAATACCCCATCCTTCAGATTTCAGCTCCAGTATCTCCTCTGGGATTCCGCATCTCCCCATCTAAAGTTGTAACCCCTACTTCAAATCAGTCCCTTTAATTTCTTTGACAGCAATGAACCTAACCCAAAATCCTCTTGCTTATCCATTTACTGCTTATATCCTTTCACTCTGACTATATTATAAATTCTTTGAGGATGCCCTGTTTATCTTGCCACCTTTATATGCACAATGCCTAGACCATGCTTTGCTGAACCAGTGGATACATGCATGAATAAATGATTTAAATAGTAAATGAAACAAACACTTTGTGAGCACCTGTTCAGGCCAGATGCAACTCTTACATATTTCACAATTTTTATTCAGTCAACTGCTTTCATGGAAAATACACCCTGGCATTGATGATATAAAAACATCCAATGTCTTGCATAGGCCTCTAGATGAAACAGGTTATTTTTAGAATTTGCTAGAGAGGGATGAGGACAGCAGAAGTGGAAGGAATACTGTGATCCATCAATTCTGCCAGAGGATCACACCAGATTGTACATCAGAACCACTTGAGATGCCTTCCCAAAATGCACATTCCTAAACGATATCAGACCTACGATGTTTAACTCCGTATCGTGTGGGGTATAGAAAGACAAGTTTTACTATGTTTGAGCCACTGTACCCTGTGGGATGGTTGTTTATTAAAGTTAATGAAGGAATTAATGTTTCTGTCCGTATTAGCTTCCCATCGCTCAGACAACACACCTGAGAAAATCAACTCAAAAGGAGGAAAGATTTATTTAGGCTGCAGGGCTTGAATTTCGGTTGCTCAGCCCTGGCTTTGGGACTGGGGTGAGGCAGACCATAGTGAGGAAAAGCTGCTCACCTCATGGCAGCCAGGAAGCAGAAAGAGAGAAAGCCAGGTCCATGTCCCCTCGGCACGCGACCCCACTCGGCCCCTCCTGCATGGTACGCCCCCTCCCAACAGTGCTATAGGCTGGTGGTCTTGGGGCGCATTTCAGGTCCCAACCATAAAACCGTTTTTTCTTGCCAGCTGCGCTCTCTCTCTCACCAAATTTGGGAAATGCCATGTAATCCTGACCCTAACCCCCTGGCTGCAGACGAGGGGTCGGAGGACTGGGCACCTCAATGAACCAGAGCTAACGAGTCCTCAAAGGATTTCTGCACCTGTGACACAGGGAGTCACAGGCTGAGGGTGACTGTGAGAGGCCTTACTTCTTACTACTTAAGAAAGCTGCCACCACACTAGAGACTCAAGCTGCAGGAGCGCTTGCCTTTGTTGGTTTTTTTGTTTGTTTGTTTGCTTGCTTTTGATATTATTCCTAACCCACAGCTATTTCTCTGTCCTTCTGTAACTGGCTTTCCTCCTTTCCTTTGATCTGTGCGTCACTCAGTTCCCCTCGGTCACCATTAGCCAGAGCTGGGTTTCTGCCACTAGCAACCCAATGGAGAGCTAACTAACATAAATAGCAAAGCGAAGATAAGGGGTGTGGGAGGAGGGGTGTGGAACTGCCAGACATGTTCAATAACAACTGGCTGAAGAACTTCAGGGTGCAACACCAACTCCCAAATTCTGACTTCACTATCCTCTAGGTCTTCTCAGTTGCTAATATACTCAAAAACCTCTTCCTCACTAAGCCCACCCAAGAGTTGCTCATCCTTTGGGCAATGCTTTCAGACCCAACAGAGCTCCAAAAGACTGCAGCCAGCAAGAGTAATTCAAGGAGAATGCAATGACAAGATACACTTACCTTTTCACTATCCAAAGGAGGCTCAGGGCCAGGTAGGCAATTGTACTTATCAAATAAGCCAAGGGAAGATCATAAGTGAAGTTCTGAAATTTTATACCATCAATGGTGTAATGTCCATAAAAGAGGCTGGTCTCCTCCAAGAAGCCCTGAAACAAAGCCAAGGGTATGAAGTCAGCCTGGTCGGCTCAGTACAGGTAACTAGAAGAGTAGTTTCTGCCTCAAGGAACTCACACTGAAATAACTCTATTCATCACTGTATCCCTTGACACCAGAACAGCCCCAGAGAAATAGGCACTACTAATACCTGAGCATTAAAATACTCAGGTGAATCATCCAAAATTCAAATTAGGGAAATAGTTCCATGTGCCATCCCATCAAAAATAATGAAAGACTTAAGGATCAATTTAACACAAGAAGAGTAAATCTTATACTTGGAAAACTAACAGAAAAATATCCCATGTTCATGGATCAGGGCCTCCATGGCAACATTTCCCAAATGGATCTACAGATTCAACACAGTCCTTACCAGGATCCCAGCTGGCTTCTTTGTAGAAACTGAAAACCTGATCTTAAATGTCTCATGGAATGTCAAGGGACCCAGAATAGCCAAAATTACTGTGTAAAAGAACAAAGTTGGAGGACTCACATGTTCCAACTTTAAAACTCACTATAAAAGCAACAGTAATCAAGACAGTGTGGTGCTGGCAAAATAATAGACATATACAAAGACAGAATAGAACTGGGAGTCCAGAAATGCACCAATGTCTCATCTGTGGTCAATTAATATTTAATAAAAGGAAACAATACTGTTTTCAACAAATCATATTTGGACAACCAGACTGCACCATGCAAAAGAATGAAGTTGAACTCCACCCTCACATTGTACATAAAAACTAGCTTAAAATTGGTCAAAGATTTAAGTGTATAAGCCAAGACAATGAAGTGTTTAGAAGAGGGTTAAATCTTCAAAGCCTGGAACAAAATGTGGAATATACATATGATCAGATATAGCTCAGCCTTAAGAAGGAAGGAAATCCTGTCCCACATCACATGAATAACAAACTCATTTGCCTTCAGTGTGACCTTGGGTGAGTCACTGACTTTTTTCTCATTTGCATAGCTTCCATTCTTATTTGCATACCCAACAATTCCTCTGAGTTGTTCCCATAAAATATGAGTTTAGAGATATAGAAACACTTTCTCAAAATCAAATGCAGTGGACAAATACAAGGCTTTCTACTTATTTATATTCAGAAAAGTCGAAGTGCAATAACATGGTACGTTGCACCGGTAATTGTCAGAAAGATAGTTTTATATACAGACTGAATGCCACTTATGTGAAATCCCTGAGACCAGAAAAGTTTCAGATTTCAGGGTTTTTTAGAATTGGAAATATTTTCAGAATTGGAAATATTGGAACAGAATTCACCAGTAAAGCAGCCCTAACCTGAAAATCCAAAATGCTCCCAAATCAGATTCTAGATTTTCAGATTGGAAATGCTCAATCTTCACATGTATGTATGAAATATCTAGAGTAGCAGTTCTCAACCAGGAGCGATTTTATCCCCCAGGAAACATTTGGCAATGGCTGAAGACATTTTTCAATGTCATAACCTGGGGCCTGCTACTGCCATCTAGTGGCTAGAGGCGAGGGACACTGCTCAACCTCCTACAATGCACGGACAGCACCCATCACAAACAGTAATCTGGAGCAAAATGTAGCAGTGATCAAGTTGGGAAATCCTTATTGAGACTATAGTGATGGTAACTTTTCATAACTGTAATCTATTATTTGCTTGGAAAAAAAGGGGATAAAAAAACACAGAGAGGGGCCAGGGATATAGCTCAGCGGCACAAGCACCTGCCTGGCAACTGCAAGTTCCTAAGTTTGAGTCCCGGTTCCAAAAAAAAAAAAAGTTACAAAAACACACACAGAGGCAGGCAACCATTGTAATTCCACTGTGATGGCATCCACTGCAATCCCAGGACTCTGAAAGGATCACAAATTTGGTCCCAGCCTGGGCAATTTAGCAACTCAGCAAGACCCTGTCTCAAAATAAATGAAAAGGTTGGGAAAATAGTTCAGTCCCCAGAATGGCAAAAACAAACAAACAAACAAATAAAAACAACCCACACAGAACTATTTTTCAATGAAGATAAAAGCCATTTGGAATAACTGTAAGAATAACATGCATTCCACTTTGGAGCATAAGGTGTTTACCTGAGATTAACAGATTTGGGAGGGATTTCAAGGAACCCATGTACAGGACTAGGTGCGTGTGCACATGATGTGTATGACAAATGTGTGCATCACACGTGTCTCTGTGTGCAATCTCTGGATGGAGGTGCCACAGTCTTCATCCACTGTGGTCTAGGGTTTTCAATAAGAGAGAGAAAGATACTAATTCTGTCCTGGCTCATCCTCACCGACACTTCTTTCTGTGGGGCCCTCAGCATTCTGTTGCAGGTCAATCTGAGGATGGCGGGGGCCTGGGGAGGGCCGGGGCTGACAGCGGCAAAGCCTGTTTCCTGTACACACCCAGTGGCTGAGCCTTCTTGCTGATGAGTAACCTTGAATCTGTTTGGATTTCCTGGCTCGCGTGTCCACACTTGTGTTTAGCTCTCACTGCAGACACTCACAGCACTGATCTTTAACCTACTTTTAGGATTTTGCAGGTCCAAACAAAGCATTAGGTTAAATACTTACAGTGCCAGAAAGCAAGTCTATGATATAGCTGTAAAAGTAGACGAGTCCAGAACTGCTTACTGGATAGACTGTACACTGCATATCTGCAAGAAAAAGAACAAGAACATTTGTTGGAAACAGTCTGACAATTACTGTAATTTGTCTCACAATTTTGTACCATCACTATACACATTTAAATATGTCTCACAGATGCACAGTTGTACATGGAAGTGTTTGTGTATTTGTGATTTTCTATTTCCAAAAGAACAGTAGCATTCCTTCTATTTCTAGCATTTCCTTCACTATTCTCCCTACACACTTAGGAATGTATATCTTTTCTGTACATTTTGTGGGTGGGGCATTTTCGGCTTATAAATGTGCATTAGGGTTCATGTTTGTATATGTTTTGTGATATGTTATTGATGTACTAATTGTTATCGTCCCATTTTTTAATTTTTTATTTTGACATGGGATCTTGCTAAGTTTTTAAGTTGCCCAAGCTGGGCTCAAACTGTGATCCTCTTGCCTCAGTCTTCCAGACTGCTGGAATTACAAGCGTACACCATCATACCTGGCTTTATTATCCCACTTTTAAGCACATCTAATATAGATAGATCTCTACATGTGTCCAATAACCACTGAATTTCACTCAGAAATACATCTTTACATAATTATTTAACAAAAATTTAAACACTAGTTTTAGTGATGCTACCTTAATCTTGGATAACTGACTTTTCCCTTTTCATCAGTCAGCTACTGCTATGCAATAAACAATCTCAAAGCTCCAGGGACCAAGAAGATGAAATGTTATTTTCTCACGCATGGACCTGAAGCTTGAGTTCATTCAGCTGGTCAGGCTGAGCCATGAGAGAGCCTAGAGCTCCAACTGGACTTAGGTCTGTCCCATGTGATCTCAATCTGGATCTGGCCTGAACAGGTGATGGTCACCTAGCCCACACTCTTCTCATGGAAGACACAGGAGCACAATAGGTGAGCTAATCACAAACAGGTGTTTCACACAAACACTTCACTAGACAAAACAAGGCCTGTAGCCAAGCTCAATGTCAGTGGGATAGGATACTTCCTGCGGCTAATGAGATGTGGCAGAAATAGGGCTGTGTGTCACCTCCAGGCAGAAGGGTCAGGAGCTAGCACATGTTGGCCATGGTCCTTTTTGTGTGGGTCACAATGACTATCAAGGGTCTAGCTAGTGGCTGCTCCACAAGCTTGGGCTCCAGAGTGAAGATTACCAGCTCAAGATGAATACGGACTGTGAGTGAGAAATAAATCTCTGCAGTTATTAGACAGTGAGGGTTATGGGACTATTTGTTTATGCAGCATAACCTAGCTCATCCTGAGTAATACAGTAACCTGAAACTTAGAACAAAGATTCTTAGCAAAGAAAGCACAGCAGTGAGGAACACAGTGAAAAGAACATTTAACAAGTAAACTAGGCTGTAAACTTACCTGTATCTTTCAATGGAATGGACACAAAGGTGCTATTGGTGATTTTGTATCTGGTGAAAAAAACTGGCAGCAAAACCAACACAAAGATGATCAGGAATATCACCAAATTCAGCAACACCAGGAACCTCAAGAAAGAGAAATAGGACTGAATCCCGGTGCCAAATTTCCCTGGAAAAAAGAAATTTGGACATCACTGACCAGGAGTACTGACCTACTACATACTGTACATTCAATCAGCCAGAGAAATCAGAAACATGTTTTCCTACTGTTGGCTTTAAAGCTCTATTTGCTAGTGGTTTAATGTTTCACATGTAGATCCACAATCAATCCTGAATTAATCAATTGAGAATGGCAGTGGGGGTTCCATATTTATCATTTCTCATATAAATATTCAACTATCTCAATACCATTAAGTGATTTCTATCCTCTCCTCCTCCCCTTTATCTGGAAAATAATATACTTAGAACTGAGGTATATATATATACATAACTGATATATATCTTTTTCTAAATTCTGTCCCATTCCCTGAGTCTATTCATCTGTCCTTACACCAACACTAGACTATTTTAATTATTGCATATTTATAGTAAGATTTGATATATGATATATTTTTCAGCTTTGTTTTTCCTCAAAATTGTGCTAGGTATTCTGTGTATTTTGCATTTCTACATACCTGTTAGAATGAATATATTAATTTTCACAAACACACACACATATATACACACCCAGTGTTGAGTCTCTGGGATTATAGATCAAGTGATATCTTTATAATAGTGAGTCTTCACATTAAGCCATGAACATGATATACTTAGGTCTTCTTTTGTATTAATAATATTTTAGAGTTTTCTGTACACAAGTGTTATTTATCCTTCTGTGGATAAATTCCTGTTATTTCATTTTTAAAATTCTATTTTAAAATATATTATAAAATTTTCATTTCCTACATGTTTGCCACTGTTATAGAAATAATTCTAATATTTTGTCTTATTATTTCCTGCTGGTAGCATGTCATATGTAGCATGTCATCTACAAAAAAGGGACATCTTATGTCTTGCTTTCCAATTATTGTCCCCTCTTACCTCATCATTCTATATTGGCCCAGACTTCCAGGATGATGCTGAGGAGATTCCACAATGTTAACATCTTTTCCTCATTCTCAATCTCAAGAGCAAAGTTTTCCATATTTCTATTAAATATGATGTTTGCTATAAAATTTTTATGGATTTTAAAGATCAGATTAAGAAAGGTCCTATCTGGGATCTCATCTGATTAAAAAGCTTTTGCACAGCAAAAGAAACCACTGACAGAGTGAAGACACAACCCACATTATGGGAAAAAATGTTCTCCAGCTGTTCCTCAGACAAAGGATTACCGGCAAGAATATACAAAAAACTTAAAAAACTCAGACCTCCCAATTTAAAGACCTAATCCAAAAATGGACATCTGAGATGAATAAACACTTCTCAGATGAAGAAATACAAATGGCAAATAAATATATGAAAAAATGTTTAGCATAAGAGATGTAAATTAAAACAACACTGAGATTCCACCTTATCTCAAAAAGAATGGCTATTATCAAGAAATCAACCAATAACAAATGCTGGAGAGGCTGTGGGGATAAAGGAATCCTTCTTGGCTGTTGGTGGGAGTCTAGACTGGTGCAACCACTGTGGAAATCAGTGTGGAGATTCCTCAAAAAACTAAGATTGGAGTTCCCATTTGACCCAGCCATTGCCCTTCTCGGTATCTTCCCAGAAGAATTAAAAACATCATACTACAGCAATGCATGTGCACCCATGTTTATAGCGGCACAAGTTATAATAGCTAGATCTTGGAAACAACCCAAATGTCCATCAACTGAGGAACAGATAAAAAAGATGTGGTATTTTTATACAATGGAAATACCTTAAGAAAGTGTTTGCATTCTGCATATAAAACAATAAGAAGCTAGTGGACTGAGTAAATTACTGGTGGTAGTTTATATTTTTTAAATAGTTATAATAAGAATAATAATTTCTTCCACTTATCCTCCCACATTCCTTATAAACTTTACAAATAATTTCCATTTTAGCAGTTTTGAGACAATGCTTATAAATCAATTTTGCTCTATAGTAGAAAACATGTAATTCTAAGAGGCATCTCCCCATTGACTCTGCTGTATCACCCAAATATTAAATATCTCTCCCCAATTTTATATTTTAGCACAACTTCTAATTTCTGTGGACTAAAAGCAGTCCCCCCAGATATGCTGAAGCCATAACCCCCAATGTGATGGCATTTGGAGAGGGGTTTTGGGAGCTGATTAGGGCAGATAAGGTCATGAGGAAAGGGTCCCCATGACGGGATTAGTGTCCTTAGAAGAAGAGTCACCAGAGGGGCTGTGCTCCTCCTCTCCCTGATAGCAGCACTGAAGATCAAACTCAGGGCCTCATGCATTCTAAGCAAGCACTTTATCACAGGGCTACATCCCCAGCCCCTAAATCTATTTCTTAAGCCACCCAGACGATGGTATTTAGTTGTGGCAGCACAAGCTGACTAATACCATATTGTATCCCAAATTCTTGCCATTATGGGAAAATAGAGATTCTTAGTATTTTCATAGCCACGAGCCCCTTTGACAGTCTGGTGCAGCCTGTGATCCTGGTTCACAATAATGTTTTATGTAAGGTAATGTATAATAACAATGTATAACATATAAGCAGACATTTAATTACAATATTAAAAAAACACATCTGTGATGGAATAATACACAAACATCTTCATTAGCACATTAAAAAATAAGATCTTACTGGCAAGTCTAAAACCTACTGAAAACTATATAAATGGCATCATTCCAAAACAACACCACCAACCACAGGAACAGGAAATATCTGACTTTTCCTGGTTACAAAGACATAGGTTTTGCTAAGCCTCAGTGTGAGCTGCTGCTACATTCACCAACAAAAGAAATGCTCCGTCTCAGCTCATGCTCCGGAAAACTCAGCTGCACCATTCCCAGGTCCAGAGGCATCAGCAGAGGCAGCATCTGGGCAGGGGATGGCATGGTGCAGGCTGCGTACCTTCTATGCTGCGGATGTCCTCCCGCCACAGCTCCAGGTGCCGGGTCATCTCATGAGTCTTCTCCAAGAACCTCTTCCATGACTTGCTGCTGTACCGTTTCCACTGGTCCCACTCGGATAAATACTTCATTTGGGTCTCTTGAATGGCTCTGCATTAAAAAAGAACCATCACAATGACAATGGCAGCACCATCCAAACTTGGCATCAAATAAAACTCAAGCCAAGAGCCCTCAGATGTGGGTGCTGGAATGTAAAATGATGCAGGCACTGTGGAAAACACTTGGGTAGCTCCTCCGAAGGTTTAACATGGAATTACCCTATGACCCAGCAGTGCTACTTTCAGTTATGATCCCAGAAAAACTGAAAACATGGTTCTCACACACAAAAACCTGCCACCTATGTTCACAATAGTATTGTTCACAATGGCCAAAAAGTATAAACAACCCAAATGCCCCACCAATGGAAAAATGGATATACAAAATGTGGTATATAGATACACTGGAATATTATTCAGCCATAAAAGGAATAAAGGCCTGACACAAGCTATCAACTGAAAGAAGCTTGAAAACATGACACTAAGTGAAAAAACAAGCAGACACAAAAGGTCACATATGCTGTGTCTTCATTTATATGGAATGTCCAGCATTGGGAAGTCTACAGAGACAGAGAGTAGCTGAGTAGGCCCCTGTGGCTGGGGTGGGGAAAACACCAAGCAGCTGCTTAGTGGCACCTAGTAAAATCACTCTGTGGAGCCACACCTGTCCTCTTTCCCCACCTTCAGGGTCAATTAAGTTCCCCATCCTATCCCCCCAAAGACCCTTCTTTTTAAACCGCATTTCTTCAGTTGTGCAACAGTTCGATTAATGTCTGTCTCTCCCAATATACTGCAAGGTATTTAAAGGCCAAGGATGTATGGTATTCACTGCTGTGTCCTGGGCCTGGGACACAGGCAGTAGATTGCATGACAGTCCTGACCCTATGTGCTTTGCCCACCTCTCCTGCCATCCCTAACCCTGAGCACAGCGCCTGTGCACACTAGGTTCTCAGTAAGCATCCACCACCTAATGAACACATAGTTACGTGAGTAAAATACGCACTGCCCCTGTATTCATGGGAAGTGAGCTGCATTCCCCGGAGCATGGATGACAGGTAGATAGGACAGACAGATGACAGACAGATAAACAAGCAGTTATATAGAGAGGTATGTTCTAACTTTATGGCCCACCATTGTTTACAGAATAGAAGGAGCATCCTTTAGGCTGGAATTTCCGGTCCCTCTCAGGCAGGCCCAGGCTTTGAGGCTCCTCCCGCATGGATTTCACTATTTCCTGCCCTTGGGGTCTTCGCATTAGCCCCTACGACTCTATGAGCATCTACACCTTGTTTCTTCCTCCTCCTGCTGTTGAAACCCCTCACACCTCCATCCTTCCATCGTCCTACTATCTTTATCAAGTTGTTTTCACATGTTTACAAGCCAGGCACAGAAATGGCTTTTTTTTTCCAGTTTTGGGGACTGAACCCAAGGCCTTTGCACTGGTCTATGTACTCAGCCTTTCTTATCTTGACATAGGGACTCACTAAGTTTCCAGGCGGGACTCATACTCGCCTTAGCCTCCCTGACTGCTGGGATTACAGGTGTGTGCCACCTTCTTATCCGCAACAACTGATACTTGGGACTGGGTACTCCTTTCCTGCGGGAGCTCTCCTGGACACTATAGGGTGTCTGGTACCATTCCTGGTCCAGACTGCCAGTTCTCGCAATCAAATGCATCTCCAGTCAAATACTCAGATTGCCCTCCGGCAAGAACTGCTGGCCTACAGGCAGGCACAATTCTACAGGTCCCAGTGAGAGTGCTGACAGTCTAGGACCAGGATAGGCAATTAATAAGCCATGGACTAAACCCTCCCGTCTGCAAGCTGTTTTTGGTGTAAGCATTTTTAAATGGTGAAAAAAAAATCAAAACAAGAATTTTTCATGACATGAAAATCACACAAAATTCAAATGTCACTGTCTGAAAATGAAGGGTGACTGGTGTGGAGCCAGGTGAGGTTCACTATGAACCCTCTACTGCTTTCCTGCTACAAACGCGGAGTCAAGCAGCTGCCACAGAGACCCCGTGGCCTGCAGGGCCTGAAACATTTACTGCCTGGTCCTTCATGACAGAGCCTAGACATCCTGACATCCTACAAGTACAGCTCTCTGGGGGGAAAGCTGCAAGAAGGAAACAAGTCAGGGGCTCTGGGGGCAGGGAGGGAGGGGCTCACAGGCAAGAGAGGAGATGTGAGGAGTCTGGGGAGAGGAGCATCCAGGGCAGCTGGAGGGCGTCGTAGGGCTGGGGTGTGTTCAGTCCCCGCTTCAGGTGCCCAGCCAGGAACTTGTCCCCGGGGACAGTGGGTAATACCTAGGGACATTGTAAATTTCTTTTTAGTTGTCAAAACTGTGAGAGGAAGAGGCTACTGACCTCTAATTGTTAGAGCCCAGGATATTGCTAAACATCCCACAATGCACAGACAGCGCCCCGCAGCAGAGAACTATCTGGCCCCAATGTCCAAGAGCTTCAAACAGCCCAGGGCTGCACCAAGTGCCCAGGAGCTACCAGCCATTGGTGCCATCACTCTTGCCACCGTGTGCCCTGCTCTCTGCCATGTTCTAGAAATGCAGGAGGAACCAGACAGACCTGGCCCCTGCTCTCCTGTGTCTTCCAATTTCCTTTCACCAACTAGGCTGGAAGCCCCTGTGTGGAAGAAAAAAAATGTCTCCCTCCGGATTTGGCAAATTTTGGGCCCAGAGCAGTGATATTTTACAAGAATTCAAAATGTGAAAATCTTAACTAGTGAGAGGCCTATATTCACAAAGCCTGACTTATCTGCAAATTTTTTGAACTTACAAGTACTCCTCCTCAAATTAAAAATAAAAATCACCAAGGTTCCCTGTAATCCCAGCAATTAGGAGGCTGATGCAGGAGGATAGCTGTTTGAGGCCAGCCTGGAGTTCAAGACCAGCATGAACTACATAGCAAGACCCTGCCAAAAAAAAAAAAAATTAAACACACCAAGGTTCATGTGCTTTCAAAGCTACAAAGCAGAGGACATCTCCAAAAGTATTTATACCACTGTCCCTGGATGGCTCTAATGAGAGCTAACCAGATATACTTACTTCTGACATCACTGTATCAGGCATAAAGGAAAACTAGATTTTGAATTCATCAGAAGTAGAGGAAACGGTAAACTACCACCAAAATCCACTCTCCCCTTTTTTGGCACTGGTGAGGACATTTCCCAGCCTCCCTGGCAGTTAGATATGACTGCATTACTAACCCCTGTGGTAGAAATCTAAGTAGAAGTGATATGTGCAACTTCTAGACCTGCCTCATAACCTCCCCCAGGAGTCCCTGATTAACACATACATGCTCCACTGTGTCGTGACTGTGCACCTCTTTTCACTAAGAGAGGGAATCTCTTCTCCTGTCCATGGAATCTAAACTGGCTTTGAGATCCACTTAGACCACAGAATGCAGTGGAAGCGATGCTCTCCCTCCAGCCCCAGGAGGCTTAAGGCTCCTGCTTTTCTCTTGGACCCCAGCTGCCACCAGGTGAACAAGGTGGTGCTGACCTGACAGAGATAGAGACTGTGATTACCCCATCTGAAGCCTTCCCCATTAGCCTAAAGCCCACTGACCCCCAGCTGGGCTCGCCGAGCCACCTGCCCAACCAGCAATAACCACAGATACACACAGAGTCCAACTGAAACTGGAGATGTCCAGCTGACTTGTAGCCTTGTGAAATGCTTGTTTAAGCTGCTAAACTGTGGAGTGACTTGTTGCACCGTGAAGCTAACTTATGCACTCACTCTTCCATATCAATCCCTTTCCACTGGCCAGATCCAGAACATAAAGTTTTGAGAGAGGAGGGTGCAGAGTCACAAAACAGAGGAGGCTGGGTCCCTGAATGGTACAAAGTCCACACTGACCTGAACCGAGGACTTTATGAAAGCAGGAAATACATTTATAATTTGTGTATACATGTGTATATATCTGCCACAGCAGCTTAGCATAGCCTAAAGAACGAAGTTTCAATTGGGTGAGCTCTTGAAATGCATTCCATGCACGGAATGCACCCTTGCCTATAGCACACACCATGCAGCTTCTAGGTGGCCACCTAACAAACCTCAGTCTCCGCTTCTCAGAAATGTTCAGCGCATACTTCCGAATGGATTGGCTATTGAGGTTTTCAGTGATTTCTCCCTCCAGATGGGATCTGTAGGAGTCTGCCGGCTTCAGCAATGTGCCACTTTGCTTATCCCGGGAAAGGAGAGTGGTCCTCCTTCGCGCAATGGACCGGTAACTTGGCAATTCTTGGAGGAAGTTTACAGCAGGAGAGAAGCTGCTGGAGTCCAGAGAGAGGTTTTCTGGGTAAAAGAAGAAAAGTGTCCTTTAGTCCAGAGAGTTTGGGAACCAAAAGGAACACCTGCACAGGAGGCTTGGATCCTAGAGATCATAACCTAACCCAGGGGAGAGTCTCTAGCCTGGGCCAGTGACCAAAGCCCTTGAATCTTATCTTATTTACCAGGATGGTGCTCAGCACAATGAAGTCACCTGAAAATGGGTTTACTTTCTGCAGCTGGATTTGCAAACATGCTTTAAGTTGCATGACAGATCTGAGTTCAAGTGTTTGGTCACAGTCACTAGCTCAGTGTGTAGCCCATTTGTCAAATGGGGCTCGGAATATCTGCTCCAACTATCCTCACACAGTGCAGGTATAATAACATACTGACTATGCAAAATGCATAATGCACTATGCAGATACATGTCAGTAACAACTTCAACAACAGGAGCACCAACAGCATCTCCCACGAGTCAGGCACATTAGGAGAGTCGCATAAACTCCTGGGATTCGGCCTAGATAAACAACACAGCGGGAGAGAGGCCACGCAGGCTTCTGCTCCTCTCTGGAGGCAGAACAAGTCCATGGTGACCTGCCGGATGGAGGAGAAGACAGCCCAGACCAGCGTTCAGCCAGCCGATCTCTGGTGACCACACAGTGCTGAAGCTCATACTATTATTACCCCCATGTTACAGATGAGAAAATAACCCACTGATGGGTCCCTTGATCCCTTGCCCAGGTGCTCAAACTCCTGCATGATCTGACTCCTTCCCCCTACTCTGGCCCTGCAGCCTCTCAACCCTCCAGACACATTTTTTAGGAACTTTCAGATGCCACTGCAGGTCCAGCTCCCTCCTCCTCAGAGCCTTTGTAGATGCTGTTCCCTTTGCCTGGAACAAACCTGTTCTAACTCTTTATCCTATATACTCCTACTCAAATGTCACTTCCCCAGGGAAACTATCCCTGCCTCCCTGTACTGTTATAGATGCCTTATTATACATTTTCCCAGTAAGTCCTTGACAGCATTAATCACAATCTGCCACTCCCTATGTATTTGTGTGATCACACATGTGCGTAACGTACACCTCCCATCAGACTAGAAGTTCCCAGAGGGCAGGGACCATGTTGATGTCTTCACCATCATGACCTAGGACCTACACTGTCCTTGGCACAGAATAAGTGCTCAGTAAAAACCTACTGGATGGACAGAAGAGTGAGGGGCATCCCTCACCTGCCTGTGTCACACAACCTGTAACTGAGAGCGGGGGCGCAGAATCAGGTATCTGACACTAAAACCCATATTCCTTCTACTACATCAGACCACAGCTGCGGGGTGACAATTCCCTGTGCCTCTGAGGTGCTCTAAGACAGTGGAGCATCCTGTCAAAGATGAGAGAATCCACCTTCAAGGAGAGTTTTACGCCTTCTCAGGTTTTAGTTATAGGAAGGACACTGAGGCCAGACAGGAGGATCCAGGGACAGAAGGAAGGAGATAGCCATCATTATCCAAGCAGTTACCGCACGGACAGCAAAGCTCCCATGACGGCACATTAGAGGCTCAACTGCTTGGGTCTGAATCCTGCTCTGTCCATTATGAGCTATGTGTCTTTGGGGAAATTACTTCAGTTTCCTGGTCAAATATTCATTCAACAAATACATCTACCGTGTATCCTGTCTGGAGCTAGGGTTACTACAGTGAACAAAGCAAAGGTCCTACTCTCATGGCACTTATATTCTTAGGTGGGAGAGAGGGAGGTCAGACAGTAAGCAGGCAGTAAATATGCCTGTGCAAAGGGAAACAAGTGCAAAGGTCCTGGGGCAGGGGGATACATGGCATCTCTATGGAAGGGCATGCAGGCATGTGATACAGGAGAGTGAACAGACAGGAGCCTTCAAAGACTCCTGAGACCCTCGAGGACTCAACCAACATTTCCCTGGTCTCCTCACCTTAAATCTGAGCAGAACCTGTGACTTGTTTTAACCACAGGATGCAAGGGAAGCGGTGCACTCCCAGTTGTGACACCAAGTCCGCTTCCACTTCTGTGCTCTGAGGCACAGGGCTGCCGCATGGAAGTCCAGTTGTGCTGGGCCCACACAGAGAAGAAGAGGCCCGGAGCCCACAGGGAGACAAACTCAGCTCCAGGTTTCCACCCAGCCCCCGGGAAGGGGCCATCTGAGAAGCTGCGGCCCTGGCAGGCACCACGTGCAGGGTTGCGGGCTGTCTCCTCTGCACCCTGCTGAATTTCTAGAGCACACAATCAGCAGAAATCACACACAGTTTAAGCTACAATGTACAGGGAAGTTCGTGAAGGGACAATAGGTCTCTGGAACAGGACAATGGAAAAGCAGAGCTCAGAGAGGTCAGATAGGCCTGCAGACCCAATCAGGCTCTGCAGGCTGTAGTGTGACCCTCAGATCTGACTGAGAGGCATCGGAATCCTTCAAGGGGTCTGGGATGGAGGTGTCACGGTCTGACCATGTTTGTTTGCTACTTGTTTGCCGTACTAAGGACCAAACGCAGGGCCTTTACACTGAGTTATAGTTCCAGTCTTTTCCTAATTTTGAGACAGGGTCTCACTAAGTGGCTAAGCTGCCCAGGCTGTGCTCCAACTTCCCATCCTCTGGCCCCAGCGGCACAGAATGCCGGGATTACAGGCCTGCACCACCATACCCAGCTTGACCATATTTTAAACTGGGACGCTAAGGACAGGCCTGGGCACACTGGCTGTTTACAGAATCAAAAGTGGTCACAAGGGGGGTCTCAGTGCAGCTCCTGGCACACAGCAGGCTCCTCAGATGCCCCAGTTGAACAAAGGGCCAGGAGAGGACTGGGGATACCAGTCAAGGCCCCTGCAATGATGAGTAAGCCTGTGCTCTCTGCCTCTCTGACATGTTCAGACACAACAGAACAAACTGCACAAGAATGACACACAGACACGCACACGCCTGGGGCTCTGCTGATCACCCTCTCTTTTCCCCGGCCCAGCACACCCTGATGTGACACACACGCCCGGCTCTGAAGGCAGCAAGGTCCAAGGGCTGCAAGGAGCCACTCCTCTCTCTGGGCAGCAACAAAGAACTATTATTAACCAGGAACAAAGGTCTTTGACCACAGAGCAGCAGTGACCTACTGAATATTCAGCAACTGCAGGGTCAGGGACCCAGGGCAGAGCCAGAGCCTGGCTTGGCTTGAAACGCTGTGGCTTGTCACTCGCTGTCAGTCACCCCAGGAGAGACAAAGCCATGCTGGAGTCACACTTTCCCATCTCAGGAAGGAGGGATAATGCTCAGGACCTCCTCTGCGTGATGGTGAGGACAGAGTTACAAACATCAAGTGAGCACTGACGGAGATGTCTGGCTATGCCGAGTACTCGGTGATGCATCACCGTGCCGAATAATCCCAACTACTCCTGGAACAGAAGCACCCCTGCTTCACAGATGAAGAGACTGAGCTGGCTGCCCACTTACAAAACTAAGAAGCACTGGACCTAGGGCCCTATCACGGCTTATGAGACCCCAGAGCTGTCGCCTTCCCCCGTGAAATGGTTCAGTGGGTCACGGATGTGAAAGTGCTTCGTAAATGCAGAAATGCTTTCCAAACAAATTAGGAAATAAACTGGTCTTCACCCTCTCAACCCAGTGAAATTGCTCTGTTCCCATCACCAAGAAGGAATCCATGGTGGAAAATCATTTTCAAATGGCTGCCATCCAAGACAAATGATCTCTGTGCCTTTTTGGTCACTCTGGGGAAGTTCCTTATCTTTAAATTAACATCACCTGATCAGCCAGGTGTAATAGTGCACACCTGTAACCCCAGCACTTGGGATGCTGAGGCAGGAGGACCAAAATGAGTTCGAGGCCAACATGAGCTACCCCCAAGACCCTGTCTCAAAAACAACAATAAAATCTGACCAGCACACGCCTGTAATCACAGGATTCTGGAAGGCCGAGGCAGAAGGATCACAAGTTCAAGTCCAGCCTGGGCAACTTATAGACTTACACTTTATCTTAAAATTTTAAAAAAGGTTGAGAATGTAGCTCAGTGTGAAGGCCCCGGGTTCAATCCCTAGTACAGAGAGAGGTAAGAATAAAATCTGACTATTCCTTGGTAAAGGCATCATTATTTTTATAATTAGCATCCATCTGCTCTTGTTTGCATACACACCACACGCTTTTTAAAGTATGACCTCACCTGGTTTCTCACGCCTACCTGCACAGGTGGGCACAGGAGGCTGCACTGCCCTGGCTTTTCACCAGGGAAACTGAAGCCCAGACACCAGGATTTGTTCGCTCCTTTGACATCAAGACAAGACCAGGTTTCTGCTCCTTTCAAAGGCAGGTCACCCCAGCTGCCTGGGCCTTGGCTAGCTCATTTTTAAAGGAGAACCAGAACAACTCATGCCAGCTACTGTCAGATATCCCGAGTTGGTTCAGCTATGGGGATGCATGGCCAGAGTATGGGCTGTTTGTTGACCTTTACACAGGGAGCTGGGGGAGCATATTTCAGATATCAGGGTGCTTCCATCCAGGGATGCCTAGAACTGAAGCTAGATTTCAGCAATTAGGAGGCTATTACTGAGGTAGGAGGATGACTGGGTAACTACAGGAGTCAGGGACACGGGCAGGCACAACTACTTGTCCCGACATCTGGTATTGCTGCTGGCTAAAGACAAAAGGAGCTTCTCTGAGGCTTAGAACACTGTCACTCCTAGAAAGCCCCCACCGGCAGGAAGGAAGGAAGGAAGGGAGAGAGGGAGGAAGGGAGGGAAAGAGCAGGGGGGGCATATCTTCAAGCACCCATAGCTTCCTGATGTTCTTGGCAGTTCTTTCCACAGGGCATCAAATCCTACCAAAGCACGTGAACTCTCCCAGGACGTGGGCCAAGTATGATCTAAGTGGCACTAATGCCACCACCAGCTCCCCAGAGTACTTGCCAAGAGGCCAGTCCAACCGTATTTGGTTGCTGACTTCACCAAAGAGTTTTGTTTCCCGCGCACAGGATCATGGAAACTTTGAGTAAGATGG